CCAAAACTCGAGCGCTTTCGAATAGTTGACTATTCTTCTTCAGGAGAATAAAGGGTTATGTTTAATGAGTATCATGAAATATATAGGCACCGATGTCGATGTCACTTAAACCAACTCATATTGAACATCCGGTTTACGTGACATCGACATCCGTGCCTATATATTTCATCACATTCATTAAACATAACCCTTTATTATCCTGAAGAAGAAGAATAGCCAACTATTCGAAAGCGACCTTTATTCTAACTTACTTTTTGGTACGTGTGAAATGTTTCGATCAGATTGGAATGAACAGACCATTGTTTTATAATTTGAAGTCACCATGGTAATACAAACATTTCGGTACCATAAAGTATCACTGACACACAGACATAGAGATACACACATAGGAATATTTAATCTTACGTTTTTATGGAAAAGTTAAGACTACATTTCATAGTGTACACGAGATAGAATATCTATCAGTTTCGTTGGAACTTTAATATCAACTAATGATCGAAAGCCATTGTTTCGTACAATGTTACCATTTTTTGTTTAATTTCCAATTTGTTGCTTTTCCATTAGAATTAATAATTTCAAGTGAAAACTTATATTAATATAGATGAATTTTACTAAATTCGCGAATTTCTGCGACAACTTGTCAGAAGTAGGAAACTTCAAATACTAAAGTCGTCAGAAAAAAAGGACATGTTGATTGTCGTGAAATATAAAACCTTTTGCTGCATTGCTACGTAAGTCTCACAATACACCTGCTTCCTCGACGTACGTGTGTTTATTACGCGAATTTACTTCTACTTTAAAGTATAGGTTTTCTTCCGAACAGCTGACGTCAGTAATTTTCATGGAACTATACGTGTTATATGAATATTTGTATGTGGAACATATAGATTCTGTAAATTCTTGAATCTTTTAATGTTTCGCGTATTTTAAAATCTTACCAATATCGTTAGTTGTGAATCGTACTTGTGTGTCACTGAAATTCCCATGAAACCATATTCGGCTTCATTAACTTCACTTTAAAAGTATAAGGTTTTTAATAATTGTGACCAGAGATTTTGTTAAAATTTTAATAAGGTGAAACTCTTCGATTTAAACTGTATGAATGACTGCAATATGTAGGCCTCTATAAAACAAAATATATCTGAAAATATTTCCTTCATTGGTTACAATATATCACTATGGCTGTACGATGAATTTGTAATTTATACCATTAAATAAACTTGTTGTTCATTGAAAACATTTATTACATCACTCAGCTCTCTGCTGTCCTGAGAGAATTAGTTTATTATTACACCCAAAGCTACATAATGTCTTCCCTGGGCTGTGCCAATTGCGAGTATCGAAACTTAATTTTTAACATTATAAACTCTTAGACTTACCCGCTGAGCCACCGGGGGAAGGGGAGGAGAGAGTATAATAATAATTTCTGCCTCCGAAATGATTCGTTCTGTCCTGACTCATTTTATGTATCGGTATGGGGTGGTAAGACATGATTAAGATATGTTACATGTGATTTCTTCTGGTGAGCTACTATGCAAGTTTATTTTGAATCCTAAGTAGAAGTTCCAAAACCAAGCTAATTTTAGTATTGATTTTAACTAAAATATTAAAGGCTCATTGCTAATGCTTGTAGCAGGATTCGCGAAAAGATAATCCTCTTGTTTATGTTTGAAAAGTGCCAGATTTTCGAGAGTTCAGTCATTCAGTGCAAGGCATTTTAACGAGAGCATGTGAGTTAAGTCTGTTAATCCCAATCAAATAAAAAAAATATTTCAGAATAGATTATAATATGGAAAGATTTGACCAATTTCTTATTTTCATAACTACATCATCTCCAAAAATCATGAAGACAATGTAGTTGGAAAGTGACTTGGTTACTAATGAGGATAATATTAAGGAGTTTTAAGTATTTAAACTTTTTGTACCCGATTACTCGAAATAAAAAAAAATCCGGGGTTTTACTCCACTTGCAACAGATGGCAGCACTAAAATAAGACCTTTTAAAAAATTACATGAACATAACAGAAAATTAAAGTACAAAACCGAAAATTTAGGCCGTCTCATCTACTAAACTAAACTAAAGACTCGGGCACGACGCAGGATGGTATACGTAAATTTCTTTAGTCAACAAAGAAAATTTAGTCTTTGCATATTTTAAGTCAAAAGTAAGAAGTTAGATATTTAGTCAATATATGTCGGTTAAAATGAGCCACGAATAATGAATGATTGAGTGTAAGAAATAATATTAATATAACTTGGAAAAGCTCAATTATGTATTCACGTCTATTCACGATTTTCAACAAAATTGAGTTAATTCAGTGTTTTGGCGATTTTCGCTTGAAGATAAGCTTTATATTGTTCTTATTATTTTTTTTTAATTTCGGTGATTTATTCTTCATTGTGAAACTTTTATAATCTATTTTAGGATATGGTGCAGTTGATCCAGTGCCTCGATCCCAGGGGACAGGGTTTTGTCAGTTTTCCAGACTTCTGCAAGGGAGTTACTTCAGTCCTGCGACACCAAAGTATTTTTTTCTATCTAAGCTTGTTATATCTTAATAATCAGATTTTGATGATATAAAGCTTTTGAGTCAAAATAATTCGGTTAAAGACTTATTTTTTATGAATTAAAGAATAACATTTTATATAAGAGTGAAAAACTTAATTTTTTCTTGAACACCGAAAGTTCTTCACAATTTGAGCAAATAGTTTTGATTTTGTAAAATTACAGCTCCTAAATTTGAAGTATTTTGTTTATAATTATTCAAATAAGTTATAAATCGTTAATTTTCATTAAATTAAATTATCTTTTTGTCTCTCAGTTATCAAACAACTGAAGCTTTATTATTATTATTTTTTATTTGACCGTCTTAGATGTTTCGTGTGTGATCTTTTGTATGATGACTTGTCCATTTTGAGAGAATGATAAATCAAACAGAATAAAATTATTTGTCTTTGTAATGTGTTTTCTCGTACAACCCCTAAAACAGTAAAAAAATTGATTGATTCTAATATATTCAAGCAGCTCCATATTAATATTAAATTAATTAAAATTTTATTTTAATAAAACGACAGCTTCCGAAAACTTGAAAATAAAACACGTCATTGTGGCGCAGTTATCAAAATGAAACGTCATCATTTGCTTACGTCAACCCATGACGTTGCTCGTATAATTTGGGATTCACTGTTTGATATTTGGTAATAGATCTATGGTTGACTTCAGTATATCTGCAAACGTACATGACTTCATATTAACATTTTAACCTGATTATAATCATCATATTTGTCTAACTTGTGCAAGTTTTCAACGCCTAGAATCTGCAAACTTCTACAAAAGACTAGTAACAATTTCACACCACTTTTTTGTAGTTAGGAAACCTGTTATTGACATCTTGATACTAATTTATTTTATACCCACTAGATGGCTACAATGAACTTGCTGATGTAGGTGATAATTCCTGGTACGACAAAAACACGTACTCACCAAAACCGGTAAGTCTCTTTCACATTCACCTCTTTAGAAGTACGTATAATCTGAATAGGTGTAAATCTCCAAAAGAAAATACTGGGAAAATGGTCATAATATGTATCATGTTTGTCATGTTTTATTTAAAACAGAATGTATAGAGAAAATAAAAACATTATATATATATATATATTTAATTTTTGAATGATGAATTTTTTCATGATTTAGTTGTTAAAATGATAGCTGGCAGTTTTTTAGTCTTAAAATCTATAATAAATTTAAGATTTCCTAAGAACAAATGTAAGTAACATTATTAAAAATAGATATAGCAAAAATGTATTAATTCAACTTAGAAATGCCGAATGAGAGAATTTTTGAGAAATAAATTTTATAATAATTTTCTTAATGAATGTCAACGATTAAAATTATTTCATTGGTTTCTTCATTTTGAAGTTTCTGTTTCTCAATTTCAATACTCTAGACAATATTAAAAAATTCAAATTGAATTACTGAATTTTGAAATTAAACAAAAACATCAATTATTGAAACCCTTGTCAAGATTATTCATAAAGGAATTTCAATTATTGAACAACCTATTAGAACGTTAGGACTTTATACACTTAAAATTTGTATCAAATCATAAAATAATAAAAAAAATTATAAAGGTGAGGAACGAACAATTGGTTATGTTAAATAACATTTGGTGAGATATATATATTTATTTTAAAACATCCTATTAATGTTATTTTTTAATTACTCAAAATATGTTTTAAAAGAAGAAAGCGTTAGCTCGTAGTTTTAAATTTAGTATTCCTAATAAGCTTAAGTATGAACAGTTTTTGCACTTACTGTCACATCAGCTTATCGGGTGTGAATCTGGTCAGTCCTTTAGTAATATTAGAACTCAGAGAAAAGGTATACCTCTTACTTCTTTTAGTAACTATAATTGTGAATATAAAAATTTTATGAATTTAAGTCCTGAAAAATTTGCAGCTTTAAAGAATTTAAGTAAAAATGAGAGGATTGTGATATATAAATCTGACAAGGGGAATAGCACTGTAATTCTAAATAAAAATTATTATATAAAGAGAGGTGAGGATATTTATAGCGATTCTACTAAATTTGTAAAACTGCCTAATGATCCTACTGCTAAAAGAAAGATTATATTGCAAAGATATTACTGATATTAAAGAAATATAACATTTTAAAGGTAAGACAGCATTTGAATATTACATTAACAGCTAGTCACTCAGGAATTTTCTACGGTTTACCTAAACTTCAAAAAAGAAAGAGTTCTATTACGACTTATTGTTTCCAACATAAGAACTTACAACTATGCTTCAGCTGAATTTCTAAAAAAGTTCACCATCAATAAATACACTTTAAAGGACAGTTTAGAATTATCCCAAGAAATACAACAGTTGAAGTTTGATAGTAATGCGCATTGTGCTGCTCTTGATGTTGAATCATTATACAAAAATATACCGTTGGAAGATACCATATAGCTAAGTGCCAGCTTGATTTACAACGATGTTTCGAACAATGTGACTATTCCTAAAGAAGTTTTTCTGAACTTAATGAATTTTGCATTTAAAGAATATCACTTTCTTCTAAATGGAAGACTTTATGATCACACTGATGATGTTGTCATAGTTTGGAGATTGTGTTTTTATGAAAAACAGTAGTTAGAAACTTGCCCGCAACAGTTTAAACCTCTTTACTATTGTAGATGTGTTGATGGCACTTTGACATCTTTGAGAATTTTAGTCAGGTTTCCCAGTTTCTTAAATATTTGAACAGTAATTGAAGAAGTATAAAATTTGCAGCAGAACATCAGGAAGAGCATAAATGTTATTTTGGGGGCACTTTAATCGGTAATAATAATGCTAACTTCGAATGTGAAGTGTATCACAAAACGATATTTTCAGGCCTTTGTTTTCATTTTGCAAGTTTTATTTTTAATTTGTTTAAATAAAACTTGGTTAAATTTTTTTTCATCATGCTTATAAAATATCTAACATGTATGAAGTGTTATATAAAAAATTCAATAATATCAAAGAGTTTTTATGCAAGAATGACTTCTCTATTTTTGATATTGATAGAATACTTCGTAATTATTTAAACAAACGAAATGTTAATACACAAGATACATTTGAAGTATCTAAGTATCCTGTAATTATCAGTTTACCCTATATGTGTAAATATTCTTTAACTACTAAAAATCGGTTGAAGAATATTATTAAAAGGGTTTATCATCCAGTACAGTTGAGATGTATATTTAAACCTAATTATCGCCTACAGTCTTTTTTTTTAATTTCAAAACCATATTTCTGCTTTACAATTATTATTTATAGTTTATAAATTCACCTGTCCTTGTTGTCAGCAAGGCTACATTGGTTCTAATGAAAGAAGATTGATAACGCGAGTGAAATAACATGCTAATCTAATATCCCCTATTAAATATAGTTCACTTGAACATGTCCTAAGAGAATTTGTTTAAGATGTTAGCAAGAACCATTGATGAACAAAGTTTCCGTATAAAAGAAAATTTACTCATTTTGAAACTGAGGCGTGAAATCAACGTTAAAGGAGCCGATAATAAACTGCTTCTAATTTTATAGAAAAAAATAATGTTTTCGCTTGGAATATAAATTCAGTCTGTGATGACCTAACAACATCAGGCCAGTCTGGGATCACCGAGAATATTAGGCCAGTTTGTGGTGACCCAGCAATTTCAAGCCAGTCTGTCATCACCCAGCAATATTAAGTCAGTCTGTGATCTCCGAGCAACATCAGACCAATCATTTGTTCTTTGGTCATCCAGCATAACGTCAATTGGTCTGTCAAGTCCGTTTGTGATAACCCAGCTACATCAATGGTTTGTAACGACCTAGCAACATACGACTAATCTGTGATTTCCGAGCAACATTAGACCAATCTGCGATCACTGAGTAACATCAGACCAGTCTTTGATTACCGAGCAACATTGGACAAATCTGTGATGACCCAGCAACATCAGGTCAGTTTGTGGTCACCCAACAATACCAACTAGTCTATCACCCACTAATATCAGTTGATCTATGGTCATCCAGTAACATCGATCGGTCTGTCAAGTTGATTTGTGATAATCAGCAACATCAAGTTGGTTTGTGATGACCAGAAACATCAGACCAGTCTTTGATCACCGAGCAACATTGGACAAATCTGTGATGACTCAGCAACATCAGGTCAGTTTGTGGTCACCCAACAATGCCAACTAGTCTATCACCCATTAATATCAGTTGATCTATGGTCATCCAGTAACATCGATCGGTCTGTCAAGTTGATTTGTGATGACCAGAAACATCAGACCAGTCTGTGATCACACAGCAACATCAAGCTGGTTTGTGATGACCAGAAACATCAGACCAGTCTGTGATCACACAGCAACATCAAGTTGGTTTGTGATGACCAGAAACATCAGACCAGTCTGTAATCACACAGCAGCATCAGATCGGTCTATTTTAAAAACTTATGTATCAAAACAATGAGGAATATATAACAATATATGAAAACCTAGCGATATCAACTGGTCACTTATCAGCTTCAGGTGGATTTTTACATTCATAATGAATATGTAAAATAGACAAATATTGTTTATTTTTTATGTGAGTAACCATCATAGTGATATACATAATTTTCATTAAGTGAGATGCACAAACGTTCGCTATTTTTATCACTAAATTTCTGTAACCTAGTTATACATTTAAAACATAACTTCTCGGTACGACCAGACATGTTAACTATTATAATGGTTGCAACATTATAAGCAGAATGTTTGTTTTTTCGATGGAAAAATAAATACCTCATACAAGAAATAACAATATTAGCTAGAGAAGGTTAAAATAATGCGCGAAGTTTTTCGTTCTTTCAGTGTGGGTGTGCAAAAGCAATAATATTCCTATAGTGTAGGATATAGATAGATACAAGCCCCTTGCGCAACTTTCAGTACCTAAAATTTCTCTTGTGGTTTTTGTTCAGGGATCATAGGGTAATACAAAACACAATAGGTCATGCGATGTCATTGGGATTCTATGACCACATTCATTTATGGCTAAACTCATAATAACTGTATATATAAAAAAAACAAATGTATGGTCAACATGCACACCAAAGAGACGAGTTTTCATTTGATACTGTTGACCATACCACTCAAATTTTTATTTTTTCCATATGTATATATATATATATATATATACATGACTATTATGGAAGTTATGGATCAACATAACATCATGTGACTAATTTTTTTTTCTTACTACCCTATGACCTTTTAACAAAAACCATAAGATAAATCTTTGGTACTCAAAGTTACCCACAGAACTTTATTTTGCTCCATTTCCCAAGGCTTGGCATGGCCAGGTGGGTAGGGCGCTCGACTCGCAATCTGCGGGTCGCGGGTTCGAATCCCCCATCCCACCAAACATGCTCGCCCTTTCAGCCATGGGGGCATTATAATGTGTCAGTCAATCCAACTGTTCGTTTGTAAAAGAGTAGCCCAAGAGTTGGAGGTGGGTGGCGATGACTAGCTGCCTTCCCTCTAGTCTTACACTGCTAAATTAGGGACGGCTAGCGCAGATAGCCCTCGTGTAGCTTTGCACGAAATTCAAAAACAAACAAACCATTTCCCAAAACCGAAGACATTAATGACTTTGAAAAAAGACTTATTAACATTTCAATGTACTTGTAATTTCAAACTTATTTTGATCGAGTAATCTGGAAAAGCGAAGGGTACAAAAAGTAAAGTGAGTTGAAAATACCGACTGTTAAACAGAAAAAAACATAAGTTTCAGACATCATTACTTAAGGAAATTGTTTCCAGCATCCCCCTCCCCTCAGGATAGATATATTTTCGTAAACTCTGATAGACTATAGTCTATCCTGTCCCACCCTTTCTAAGAAAAAAGAAAGAACAAATAGCACAGTACATGGTGGGGGTTGTCATTAACGTGGGTGTGGTGACATAATTGCATGCTTTGTGTCACGC